CCGTCCGCAAAATGAAGTGAGTGAGAAGGAAGCTCATGGGATAAACAAACAAACCAAACCGCTAACAAATCGGGTAGCTTACAGGATTTGAGATATCAATGTTTTGTAGCAGGATAGTTGTGATAACACTCTTAGGGCTATATAAACACCTGCTTAGCACACTTCCGTTCATTCCACATGGTGCTGCAGTGGCAGCTGGAGGGCAGTGGAGAGAGGAAGGGAGGATGAGGAAGGGAAGCGAAAAATCTACCGTCATATCATGATTGTGTCCCTTCTACTGTATGAAACACCATTGTGTTGCATACGCGTCACTTCCAGGAGGTGTTGGTGTCACAGGAGGAAGGGACCATAGCGGAGGATAGAAAGCTTGCGCAGGAAAGGAAGGTCCCGGCGGTTGACGGGGGACTAATCTGGTATTAATAACACAATAAACATTCTATTCAAAATAATGAGTAACCAATCGATATCGAACTTGAGATGATGTTGATTAGTTTTGGAATCATATCACCGATTCATAGAGACAACACAGGTCGCCGTTGACCCGAGGCCAGTGATATAGGGTGAATGCGGAAAAATTTCAAATAAAGCCTACTCAATTTCTTCAAGTTTTCCCATTCTCGCCTCCCTAATTGTTCTGAGTTTTACCCTACGTACGACTTTACGACTGACTCGTACGTAGGGTAAAACTCAGAACAATTAGGGAGGCGAGTTCGCTCCTTCGCTCTGACTTCTTTGAAACAATAATTCAATAATGGTTAACTTCTTCAACAAATATCCTACTAGCTCCTACTTTTATCCTACTAGCTAAGAACCAATTTGATCAACCGACTTATTAGCGATATCTACTCGCTCGACCGATTTAGGATTTGCAGTAGAATCGACTATGTTTGACCTGACATTTCAACCAGTTCCACGGTTGAAATGTCAGGTTACGTGCATTACTGTGAATATGTAGTTTTACTCTCTAAAATATGTGAAGTCGCTTCTCAGGAAACTCAATCTGCACCACATTCAGATCCAACCCTTAGGTTTTTCTTAAAGTCCGTTCCACCTCTCCGGGACTCACACCAGATCTATAGCAATTCTAATTAGACTTATTTCACGCTTTTTTCAGATCTCTCACATTCCTGCCTAGATTAGTATGGTGTGCTCGTCAGTATGTTGTGTAGTAACTCTGACGATATTTCATGTTACGAAATGGGGCCGTTTATAATCATCCCACACTCTTTAACGATCAATGAAGCTGTTCAATTCTAGAGCAACCGTTTCGCGGATCAGAACTGCTGGCTTTCCGAGCCCCTCCTGAGAAACTCAGTAAAAGGAACCTGGCAAAGTATGTATAGCATTAAAGTAACACACCGGTAGAGTAAAAGTCAGTACTCACTCAAAATTTTGAGAGCACAAATCGACCTCAATCAATCAATCGAGTCTTGGAAACCAAAGATCTTAACTGGAGGTTTGTTTGCCTCTTGAAGTCGCATTGTTTACCAGCAGTCGTGGATTTATAGTAGGCAAGAAGTACACGAAAACTGCCATGGTAAGCGTTCCATGATCTTCATAGAATCGGCGTAGGGTGAATTAAGTGGATGTTTCGATGCATTTGGAAATACGTCACCAGTTGTGGGGGCTTGGTGTGGCAGAATATGAAGCCTTCACTAGATGGAAGCGCTTCGACAGTCAAAGCGAGCTTCGAAAAGTGACCTTCACTTTCAGAGCGCTCCGCTCTTTTTTCCTTGTAGTTCTTCAGTATAGAGCTCAAAGGATGACGCTTACGCTAGCGCATGTATATTCTTCTTGTTATGACTTTTTGCAGCTTAGGCCCTAGACACACGTAGGAAAGAGTCATGTTTGTCACGATTCAAGTCACGAACTTCTACTAAACCACAAACAGGTCGCAGTCAGAGAAGCGTTTACGTTTGTAATACTCCTTTTGTCTTTTCCCTCGCTGCGATATCCGAATCATTCGATATCCCCCGATGTACGCGCTCGGAGGAAAACCCAACTTCAGGAAGGCCATGCTGTTAATTGAACCAGCTGCGCTCTCATCTAGGCTAATGCGCACGAGTCAATCGCTTATACTGTTGTTTCTGATTTTCATCCATAGTCGTATTCGCTCCCTTTAAGGAGCCGAATTCTGGTAAGAAAGGAGGACTTACTAAAGGAGGATTTACTTACTTTACTATCACAATCATTTTGGAGTACATCTTGAAACTCAAATGGAGCTAAGGTCTGTTGGGTATGGTTTTACTGCTTCCCTTACCTTCGCTCCCTTACCTGTCCAAGTGTCTCTGCGGTACCACGTGGAATTACTGAAAGTGCTCAGTAGACATTTATATAGCCCTTGGAAATTCTATCACGATCCTTCCACCACAATTTGTGGCGCAATCGCTGCGAGCTCTGCGGCTTTGTTAGCGGTTCGAATGAGGTTACTCGAAATATTGCCTTCAAGTGGCACAACTCTTAGAACTCCTGAAAGCTTGGAGTTCGCACCGTTAAAAAACGGCTACGGCTAAAAGTTTCAGTGTTTTGTCTCCGGAAAACTTGCCGTGTGACTCAAGCCGTCTCAGAATGACGGCTATGGTGCTACGAAGCAGGCTGCGAATGTGTGAAAACTTTTCTCTATCGTTTCGGGGAACGCTGTGTGGGAATGATCTATTGTGCTGAAACTCTTTTCGACTCCGATTTCTCCTCCTAATTGGAGTGTGGTGTTGTATCAGAGTCACAACACGCACGAGTTGTATTCCTATGATTTACTTCACGTTCAGGAAAATCCGCTTACTGTCGCATTTCATTGAATACTATGAATACTATAGCTATTCAACCTGTGATTGAAAACTGATAACGTTTTCACTTTCTCATTTTCAGAATGAACTTCTGGGCAACCTTCCCTGACTTCCAGTTAGTACTCTCACTTGTGACAGTGATTTACTATTTTTATATCATAGTCGTGATGATCACCTCAAAATCCACAGTGTTTCGGTCTGCATTTTTCACGATCTTTATTTTTACTGGTGAGTTTCGCACCACTTTCAACGCCGCCTCATATAGCGCTAACTAAATCCACTGGTAAGCGAGTAGTCCATCCCCCTCCAGTATTTACATATTCCGATTATGTGCATATACGACTCCTCTCCTAAACACCCTGAAGACGGATATTGTCAGAGAACGAGATAATCCCGCTCTAATCGGAATCAGACCGAATTCTCGAGATGCTTAGAATTGTTCTCGTATCTGTGTCTGTGGGTGTCAAGAAACGGAAATACTTGAATTACGAAAGATTTAAGTGATAGTCACGGAAAAGCATAATCAGAGTGACTGGCATCTGAAAAGTTTACCATCTCTGAGAGGAAGTTTAAAGGACGAATTCACGCTGGAAAGGCAACCCATTTCAAATTAACTTAGGGATGGTGAGTGGTACACGAAAGAAGGAAAAACCATGAGAAACGGCCCAGAACCCGAGAAATGGGACCCCTTCCTTGCCCGTTGATTTGAGCATTGATGCGACTCTCATCGCTGTGCCCTCTTCAACACTACGCTCTCTCACCTATCTAATCACTCGCCACGTATAGACCTGCGGCGAGTGATCAGCACTTCAATAATTTTGTCAGTGTGCCATTTGACAATACTGGAGTATCTCAGAAGCTCGCGCCACTATCCAACGCTTTTTTAGTTAACATTAATTCAAAGAAACATCCTCTATCATAATCGTAAGTATGGACCATAACTATCAGGGAATTGCTGCCAAGGTTTCAGCGCCGTGCTCCCAGAAAGTCTTCCGTTTATAAGCTGAAACATAAGCACGTTTGGGACAATTTTGAGGTTCTTCTTTGAAATATTTTTCGCACATCTAAGCTCCGACCTAGAGTCATGTCATTCAGAGCGTGGGTCTCACATGTCGTGATTCGCACGTACTTTTGAATAATGAAGGTGTAAGTTTGAGCCTTCCCACTGGTCTTGATCGATTATTGCCGGTGGATCTGGCTTGTTACAGGGCAGTAGCTAAAGTGAAGTTTCTAGCAGCTATTCGCGAATAGCCTACTCTACGTGTACCGAATGTTTTGCTGAGTTCGACAGCCCCTTTCGAGAAACCGCCACTAGTGCTTCTGCAGTTTAGTATAGAACCACCATCTCTCAGCAGTAACGGCTTCGTGAAGTCACTACGTAGGAGTAAATCGGGATAGAATATGTGGCCCGTCTTGTGATTGCTGGTCAATTCATGAGGATTTCTTTATTGATGACTCTAAATTTCCCAAAGGAGCGCACATCTCTACCAACAGTGCGCCTGCCTGAGTGTGATGTTCACATAGGATGTTAACTAGTGCGAGACCACGCCAGATCTAAATTGGACAACAATGTCTTTTTGGAATAGAGTTTTCTTCATGCTGAGCGCGGGAGACCGATCCATCTTGACCACGCGTGGTGAACGACGACAAGAAGAAGTATCGCAAGGCAAATGTTACTTCGATCAGTTTGTAGTTCGGCGAAAGTTCATAATCGAAGCGTGAAAACATAGCTCTTCTCCTTCTTCGCTCTGAGCTCCACGAAAGCAGAAAGGAGCACAACTCAATCTCAGGTTACTTATAGTGTACTTTTCGACGCCTACATGAGGATACCAAGAAGCAGTTAAATTTCGGCGTGAGGTTCAAAAGAGTGGCGCAAATTTTTGGGCACTCTGAGGCCTTGTAACGAAGCAAAACTAGAAAACTCTCGAATTAAGAAAGGATCGAAATGACCATGGAGCTCAGAATTTGAAAAATTCATAGATGTTAACAGTCAAAACCCGAGTTTTTGATAGTCTGCATCTTCCTTTCCTTCTAGGCAAACCTAAGAAAAGAGTCGAATGCGCTGGGTGGGCTTGATCCGAAGACGTCCCGAAAAGACGTCAATCCTTCGTCAATCCAGGTGGGCGTGCACTTGGCGATTGCATTAGAGGTGCTCGGTCTCCACGATTCCCTTCAAGAAAAAGGAAAAACGCTAAACCACAATTTTGGCTAATTGTTCGTTCAGTAGGCGCAAATTTTCACCAACCACAACGCCTACAGTTACCGTGTGAGCTGCGATCCATAAAAATTAAATTATTGGTGAGATCGAGATCTTTCAGGCATTTTCGATATTGTGGGGATACTGGCGCTCGAATGGGTAAAATGTGATTTGAGAACCGGCTTCGGTGAGTTCTTAGTTTGTCATTCAAACCAACTTTCCACTCACAGCTGTTCTTTCTCTTTGTGTGCTTGAGTGAAGTCAGAACCGTGACGATTTACGTGAATATGTATTCTGAGCACCTTATTGGTTTAGGACCTAAATTCGAATTAGTGACTCGTATAACGGCCGCCATTACTGGTACGAATTTCTTCACTCATATCATTGGATGTTTCTTAATGACTGTAAATCGATATACGGCAGCTTGCCATCCTGAAAGTTACTGCACGGTAATCCTAAATAAATATTGAATAACTGTATAGGTGTTCGAAGTATAATACTTTGCTAACCCTGCCTATAGGAATTTCACCGAAGTAACTGTATCCTTGACACTGTGGGTTGCAACTGTGGATAGCGCGTGTGTTGGTCAAGAAATCCCGTATCAAGTCCATGTCCTACGTCCCTTATCATACAAATGGGTAGCCAGGCAAGCTAGACAAGGCTAAAGAATCGAAGCCTTCTCCCAGTAGCAAGAAATGAAGTAACAATGATTTGTTGATGGGTCTATGGTGGTGGTCAGAGTCCATTGTGGATCCTAGGGCTTTACAAGGGTCGTGCCACGCTTCTCGAAACGGGTTGGACATCGTATCGTATCTCACGTAAACGGAACATGGGACATTGCTTCATTTCTTCTGAGCGGCTCTCCGAACATCAAAATAGTCACAAAATTTAGGTTCGGTTCGAATCCCTGTGGTCACGAAGCCTTGCATTTTTGATGACTCTCGGATCGTGTTGTAGAATGGGGCCCGAGGCCGGACGGATACCCTTTCACCATCGGAACCATCAGAAAGCTTTATGAGCAGGCTTCTGCTAAAAGCATGTCTCAAAAAGGTGTGGCGCTCGAGCTTTTTCGACCCGTTTTTCGGTATTTAGAGGGATACTTAGAAATGATAGACAGTTCCGTGTTTCATGCATGTGCCCTCACTTCACAAAAAAACTTCAAAAAGCAGGGCACGACCTAATAGACATTTATAGCTATCGTATTATTTTTTGGCAATTGGCCAAACTGTCCCATCGTTTGTATAATCATAGAAATGAAATGATTGTATATAATTAATGTAACGGTCTACAATTATGTCGTATTCGACAGCGATCGAAGCAGCTAACGGCAAGCAAAACCAGGTTTGCTCCGCACGCTGCCGCGCTCATGACACGGATGGCTTCGGTTGAACTGGCAACCGGTGCTTCGTGAAATGCGTTGACTGCCCATAGGCCACCCAATTTGACTGAAGCTCACTATTTGATGAGCGCAGTAAAGTGCAGAGTTTAAAGGCAAAGTTCGGGCTCAGACCCACTTAATGAGCCTTTACGGTGGCTAGAAGCGCTAGGTACGCAAGTGTAGAGGTCGCGTCACTTCCCTACTTCGAAAAGCGTTATTTAGACGCTAGGCGCTAAGAACTTTGACACGCTCCACCTGTTGCGACACGCTCCGCCCACCGCTCGATATCTTGTCTGCGTCGCTAACTTGATCTGCTATGCTCTCTACTCGTACTTCTCTAGCGCTCTCCGCGCTCACATTATCTCTCTCCCCTGCCGGCCCCTTCGGCCTTT